ACATTGAATCATCAATGTTTCAGTAAATCGTACTGTAGATGAACATTTTGCTGTTTGGGCTCTTAGGTATTGGTCTCATACTGTTGTTTCACAAGATGACAACTGAGGCTCAATTTTGTGAGTTAAATTTAGCATGCCCTGACCTCTCTGGGGCCTTCTGTGGAGCCTGGCTGCCTCTGCACCCATCACAAGAGAAATCAGCATGTAAAACTGAGCAGTTTCCACATGCACATCCAGAGAAATCAATGGCTTAAAATGAAGTCTCACATTGATTTTAGACAATCAAAACCAATATAAATGTATTTAACATGTACACTCACATTGCCCCTTTAAAACAGGCATGCAAGTTCMGAAGATTTCTTCACACAGCTTGCAGAATGTGGAAGCTTTTGCAAATGTCTAGTGCAGTCTTTAGTGCAGTCTTTAGTGCATACTCTCACCTTAATGCAGAGTCCCTCACTTCAATGAATTTCCTGATAAAACACTCATTTTTCATTTGTTTTTCTTGTGTGTCACATTTATAAATGAAAACAAAATGGTATTTGTGCCTCTAGCTCAGCAAAATTGAACATGTGCGGTATGAAATGCCATAATGACAGTTACTTTTGGGAAACTGCCTGCTAATTCCTTTTGCAGACCCRGGGATTTTGTGTTTCTGACTCACTGTCACACCCTTCAGTTGGCAGCTCTGTCCTGCTGTGCCACATCACAGGCACAGCAGGCAACTTCGGGCTGTGAATAATGCAACATAACAGTAACAGTTTGCATGGTGACAAGAGATTAAGATGGTTTTAATCCATCCTCAGAGAAAGGCAGTCCCTTTGAGCACTGCTCATTTCCTGCTCCAGTCTTCACCTCAGGCATTATTAGCCTGTTGCCAAATTAGAGTACGGACTCTGATTTGGTCAATGAGCAAGCAACCGTGCTGGTTTAAAAAATAAACATCTCYTTTTCCTTGCTCCCATTTATTTATATTGCCCTATTTCTAGGAAATAACACCCTAGGAACAGTGATAGAAGATTTTTCCCTTTCATTATCTAGCGTTTCAAAGGGAAGTCTGCTCCATGTGGAGCAGGGCTCCAAGACCCTCATACAGATCATGCTGACTGCTAGGCAGCTGGGAACTACAAGCAGAGGAGCACAGCACTGACCTATCACGGCCTTAACCTCTCAACAAGATTTGCAAGAGGTCATTTGTCAAAGGCCTAATCTATCAGTGCGCTTCTTTTCATGATGGCAAAACCATATTTCTAGAGAAGAGCAGGCAGCAAGCCCCTCTACAGGACCCCCWGTCCCTGTCTGTCTGTTTATGGAGGTTATTCACCATCCCCATTAGCAAAACAGCTCATCTATTGAATGTAATTTAATCAACAAATGGAGTTGTCCTTGGCAGGGTATCTTCATTTGAAGAATTACTCCTCTTTGTGTGTCAGAGATGGAGCTACACAACCACTTTTATTTGATTGGGAAAAATTAGCCGAATTAAATACATAAATGTTAAAGTAAACCCTTTGGATGTAGTTCACTTAATAAAAACCAAATAAATATCCATTTTTAAAGAGCAGTAAACTGCTGGGCATTTCACAGTGTCAGCTCAGGTTTTCTAGAAAAGAATACTCAAATCCACTTACACATAAATTAATGGCATAGCTGTTTTTCCTGCAGCCTTTTTAAATGTTGCTTTGGAATGTACACAGAAATGTGTGTGTGTTTGGCAGGGGTGAAGGGAGTGGYCCCCTCTTCACAATGTGGGCCATCTCAGCTCTATTTGGAGTGCCTGTTAATCTAATGCCTTTTCAGAGTGCCTGAAGACATGAAGAAGCATTTCTTATCTAGCACATCCACTAAAGACTAGGCCTTTTTTCTGTGTTCTTAGCATTTCTATGTATTTATTCTCTCTAGTTATGAGCATGTTATGGGGGCATGTTTTGATTAAGCAAAATTTTTCATTTAATTACTAGTTCTAGTATATTTCTGGTTGACATTTCACAGTGCACAATTCAGCTTCTTCCCAAGAGCACTCTGGCAGTCCCTCATCTGTRCCTGCCTTGAGTTCTTCTTCATCCTCCTATAATGTAGATGGCAGCTCTAGCTTCTACCTACCTTCTACCTTCAACCTCAAMGATTTTCCCCCCACTGTTTGTAAGTCCAGAGCAAATATCAGTGCTGAATCCCCACCTTTGGTGGCTCTGTGGTCAATCCTGGTGAGCTTTGATCCTCCGTTCCCAGCTGCACACACAAATTCCCTGTGGCCCAGGCTGCAGCACTTGCCCTGCCATCCTGGAGGAGGAGGCTGAATGCTGTCGGCTGATCAGCATTCCTGYGAACACCCTCTCCTTTGAGAGTAAACGCATGCTGAATTACCCTCATATCATCCTCACTGGCACCCACAGCAGCAGGAGGGGCAGGACCAGCACTCCCATCATCACCTTTTCTCCCATTAGCAAACCAGTGCAGGGCCCACAGCAGTTCGGATTTTCTGAGAGCAGTTTTGAATGCAGTGTGATTCTTCAGACAACTCATTTCACAGGCTCAGGAATAGAAAGCATATCATTGTGGCTTAATCAAATTAAATATTCAAATGAAAGCAATAATTACTTAAATTTGTCTTGAGACTTAGGAGGATTAAGTCTTTGAAACATCATTTTTGGCCCGTAGGCTATAACGAGTATGCCAGTCTCTAATGATTCAGAAAAGACCTAGAGTGTTGGAGTTATCACAGACCAGGAGCTATTTATGAAAGATGAGCAGCATGGTTATTAAATGACCCTCGGACAGTATCTCTTCTTTACAGATGGTTTTGATAACATGCCATCAAATAGACCCTGACATTAAGTGAAAAAAATCATAGCCAAGCATTTAAGTTCACCAGCAATGTAAATGGAAAAGTCATGTTTASTAGCAGAGATGCCTAGCAGAAATCACTGCCGCAAATTTCAGCTCTCATTATGATCTGTTAATTAATGTGTTGACATATGATTGCAGCAGATCAGAGAGACCAGCGCTGCTGTTAAGTCTAGGMATGTGTAACACATGGCCTGTGTGTCCCAGGTCCAGAACACACAGTCAGAATACCTTGCCTTCACAGTTAATGCAAAGCTTCTCATGGTTCTTATGAGTACCTGGAAGCAAAGCTGCCAGCTGACATTGTTCTTCCCTGACATTAATGCCAGAGTGACTCAATTTATGCAAAAATCTGACTCATGAGCCAAGACTGAAGTGAAGGAGACTTTGCTCTGACTGTGGACATGACAGTGTTTAAGGTAATAGTTTGTCACTGCCCAAGTGTGCAGGAATCAGTGTGCACCAGTGAGGTGCCAGCTGGCCTTTCGAAGGGGGTACTGCTCAACGGGCTGGCTAGGAGCTACTTTCTGCTGCCACACAGAATTAACCTGAATCTTTTCTGCAACTGTTACCACAGAGTTTTGCCTAGTCTTTCTGCTACATCCTTTGATATATCCTTCCATGGAACTGGAAATCTTAGTTCTGGATTTTTTTTTCCTGCTAGTTAACTATACATTACTGTTCTTACTGCTCTCTCTCCTTCATATTTAAATCTTTCCGTTATTAGGTTAATAAAAAATTTGCAGGAACTTTGATACTTCGCTGAAGAGCAAATTTAATATCAACAGCACAGAAGGATATTAGAGTTCTGAATAACAAGGTAAATCTTCTAGAGCACATTACATACCCCCTGAGCAACACCATAGGTGGTTGCTGATAAGACATCAGTGACACTGTAGTGCTGGGTGCTGATATTAGTTACTAGAATTTCTGGTCCCCTGCCAGATCAAATGCACTCGCAATACCACCGGAATTCTGTAGGGGAGGGTGGCCTGGACTCTCCCAAAGCAGTTTTTTTTTAATCTTTCAACCTCAATTTATTTGCATATCCTGTCAAGAAACACCTCTGAGATGGAAACAAATCTCCTTACTCCTGAAATCCGACAAGAAACATCAGTGTAAAATCAAGAGATAATGCAGCAGGTTTGTCGTTAACCCTAGGAGACCATTTCTGCCTACTATTCCTTGCACTGGGATTACTGTTAGGCCCTGCACAAAGTCCAGCACACATAGCTATGGAAAGAATTTTTAACATTAACTAAGGTTTAGCTTGCAGGGGCTGGAAGCAGGGACTTCTGTTTGCTTGGTAGTGGAAGCTCTCAAGTCTGTGGGGGAGTCAARGTGTCCAGTCCCTTTAGCAGGATTGCAGATCCCCCTCTTTGTGAAACAACTCAGGATCAGAGAACACTTGCAGAGAAGGGTATCAGCAATTGCCTTGATCCTTCCCGATAAACAAGGATTTYGACATACATTCTAACATCAGATCCTGATCATCCACATTGCTAAACCCTTAGGTTGCTGCTGTTTCCTTGTTTTCTAGAGCCCTCTAGACAAAGCACAGGTGTGAACCTGGTTTRGCTGCATCCCTGGCTCTCATTCCAGGTGCAGTGCAGTTATCAACATTAAGACCAGTATCTTGTTTGGGAGAAGGCAAAGATAGGGTGCAAGTGTTATTTGTCAGCTTCCCAAGTATGTGAGTAACATACAAATACACTCTAGGCTTGTGTTAGAAGGCCATAAAWATCCCAGAATTCAAAGACAGCCAACTGCACTCATGGAGAATTACCTGACCTGTGCTGTGATGGGATGCCTTTGTCTACCCTGTCAAGATTTCTGGGAGTTTTAGCTCCCATATTGCAACTATCAAATCAGACTATTAAATCTTATTTATTTCTTAAAATATGCATACATACATACATACATACATATATATATATATATATATATATATATTCATTTATAATGTTCTCCTGGAAAATATTTCCAGAGATCTATATGAAATCCCCTGCCATGGCACCATACCAGAATTATGAAATATGAATAGCCTACCACACACAGGTAGATTGCTTCCCAAGCCTGTGCTTAGTCCTAGTTTGCTTTTATGGCCGACACACAGAAGAGTCTAATGTGGCTGAGATGCTCTGGTGATGACTCACCCAATTCAAACTGGTTGGAAAGGTTCCCACAGGTTTGTCTGACTTCTTCACTGTCCCAGCCAAGAGGATAGAGGGCACAACCAGAGCCRATCAACAAACCTGTGGAGAGAAAAGGAAGTAAAAGTTTATACAAGCAATTGCAATTAGCTTAAACATAGGCTGCCAGTCAGGAATTGAAGTCTCTCCTCCTAAAAATAGATGAAAACACTTTGGACTGCTGCCTTCTGCGGCACTGTTTTAGAGCTGGTCTGTGGGCTGGAACCAGCCTGAGCAGTTCAGCTTCAGAAGCCATGCTTAGTTTCTGAAACTGTTATCTGAGAGTTTTCAGACTCTTCTTCTACTCTCCAGAATGGCTAAATATGCAGTTTGGAATAAACAACATGTGGTTAAATAGAAGCGTGTTAATCACAGCCTTTATGAGCCAATTGCTTCTGATTAATTAAAACAATCAACCAGGGTCTACCAAGGTTCTATCAGGAAAACTGACACTTATGATAATCTGTTGCCATTTTGCTTTGTTTTTCACTCTTTCAAAAGCAAAGGAATAATGGTTTCATAACAGTTGATCAATTCATACCACAGTACACACTCCACAAAGTTTTCTTAATTCATTCAGCTGAAACAACTGAGGTCTTGAGTCATTTACCTATTATCATACTTGGTTTAAAATTCAAAAGATGCTTTTTCTCCAGCCCACATGGTGCCCCAAACTGGTGTCCTTTGGCAAATCCTGTCCCTTCACAAGACCTTGCTGGGAATCAGTGATGCACCCATGCACCACAACTGTTTTATGKAAGTGGCATTTTTGTCATATTGCACTCTCAGCTGTCACTGCAGCAGCTGCCAAAAGGCCAGTATTGCTGGCAAAGCACCTTACACAGACAGCCTAGAGATAACATTTCAATTCATGTTACAACATTTAAATGTTGCCTCCCTTTGGCAGATTTATTTACAGGACTGGAAACAAATCACTGTGTAGATAATGGGCTTGGAGCACCTGACACTTCACAGGTTGTAAAGCCAAGTAAGTCCTCAAGCTTGCAGGGGTGCCTTCTACCCGCTAGGCAGWGCACAAGGTTTCAAGCCCTAGAGCTGTCACAGGCTGACTGTGTGTATCTCTTGACCTCATATCACCTTGCTCCACCTCTCTTGACAATAAGGAGCATGASCTCCCTGGAAAAGCACTTCTGCTGCCATGCTGCCAGTGCAGAAAAGCCCTGGATTTTGTGACAGAGACACTGTGGGCATCACACCAGTCTAACAGGAGTCCTGAGAGGGATTATGGCTGAGGGCCTGGAGTTTGCTGTACCATTCTACTGTCTCCATTCACAAGATACCTTGGCTTCTCGTATTGCTGATGCCCCTGTAAGATACAGAAATCACCTTTCTGTGTTCCTGATTTGCTCAAAGACACACCCGAACAAGGCACTGAAGTCCAGAAGTGGTATCTCATCTTTCTTCAAAAGATGTTTAATGCTCTTAACATCTTGGCTATTAGCAAAGTAGCTGAGCAGCTTCTCTGCTGCTCCTCCAGGCACACCTGCCCCTGTTTAAGCCCAATATTAGCTCTCAGATTCCCCACTAAGTTCAAATTTCTTCTTGCTGCTCAAGTCTACTTCTTCTTCCCTCATTGAGCAGTCATTGCTTGCTCCTGTCTCCCTATCTACTTCACATAATGAAGAAGAAATCCCTCAGGCTGCCCTCTCTCAGATGGAGCACTCACCCAACAGCTGTGACAGGAGAAAAGCAATTAAGGACATGTTAATGCTAGATATTTTCAGAATTTTGCCTGTCCTGGGTATGGTTGCTTCTAATGTCCTCACTAATATCTTTCACAGTATCATTTGGTTTTTTTTTCCCTTAGGGCCGTAGAACTAAGGGCAGCTGGTAGAATCCATGTAAATGAGAATCACTTCTAATTAAATTCTCAGGGAGTATGTTTCTCAGACAAAAGAATTTAGGCTAAAACTGGGTCTACATTTGTTAGAGACAGACTAAGACTCTCAAAAAAGCCCCTGCTGTTTCTCTCTTGAACTGTTAAAGCAAGAAAGATGCTGTGAAGCACTGACAGCATGGGCGGTGTGCCAGGAATGGTCAGGACCCCGTGGGGCAAGGAAGAACATCACCACTGATGATGAGAATGGCTGGGGAACGGAGAAAGAGCACCTAGGTGCCAGGGACAGCTTCACAGACCACTGRACTGTGGCAGCCCCAGTCAGTCCTGCAAAGGTTCTGACCCCTTCCCACACTGGTTGTGGTGTTCACGATGCTCCCGATGTCAGCCCAGGCAGCCACAGCTCAAGTGAACCATCCTGGCTGGGCTGTTTGCAGTCAGCTTGGGTACCTGAATAGACCGTCTGGGAAACCTTGCAAATGCTCAGAGGGCTCTATTGCGAGGGGCGCAGAGATGTATGCAGGGGGTAGGAGGGAAGGCAGGCGGGTGCAAGCCTTGGACCAGATTAAACCGCAGCCACCCTTTCGTCACAAATAGGTCCTGGGAAAGTCTTCTGCCCAATTCTTCCAGGAGAGCACAACAACAACACTGCAGGCAAGTGAAAGGAATATTAGCATAACAATGCTGCTCCTCAAACCCTGAACAAGCTCTTACTCAGCCCTTGCCAATTACTCTCCTCAGGTGGCRAGAGTGTCTAGTGCCCATTTCATTCACATATTTGTTTTCAGCTCTGTTTAGCTTTTGTTGCAGCAACAGGTTGTTGTTTGGGTTTTTTCCCACGAGTATTTCTCACAGCACTTTCCACTGCCACTCTCCAAACACAGCCCATCCTTTTCCAAACACATGTACCTGTTCACTCTTGCTGRCTCTGGTGCTACACTGGATGAGTGATCACAAACCTTGACAATTTATTTCCTTCTGTATTCAGGTTCCTTCAGCTCCCCGTCACACCTTTTTTTCCCCCATTTCTGTACACCCGTGTCTGTAAGTTCAAAGCCCAGTTTCAGTGAAAAGAAATTCTGCGTTTCACTTAAAAATTCCTCTTCAATATACTGTAATGCTGAGTTGCTCCAAAGGAGCTSACACTTGCATGCTTGCCCTTAAAGCCATTCCATTACTGCCTTACAACATGCCCACAGCACCCACCACTGAGCGTCACCATTAGCTGTGCCTCCTAGGAAGAGATAAACCAAATAAGAGAAAACTATGTCAGAAAGCCTCCCTACCCCAGTGACAGCTGGCTCTCCAGCTGGGTATGGGCTTTATCAGTGCTGAGTTTACCTTATGGAGTACCAGCCACAGAGCTGTGGAGCTTCTTTTCCTCTCACAGCCTGCACTGACTGGGATGACAAGATCAAATGGGAAACTGCTGCCTATAGCTGCTGCTGCCACCTAACCCCAGAGCATGAGTGGCAGTGTGCTTATGTGCAAAGACAAGGTATAAAGCCACGGGCAAGCTTACACACTTCTCTTAGTGAACACAACACCTTTCAGAGACCATTGGTGTGCCAGGAGCATTGGTTTGTGTTCCCATCTGGCAAAAAGGCTTATGCCTGTAAATATTTGTTTTGTCATAGGTACCAACTGGCTGCAAGTCTTAAAGCTGTTGCTCTGACATGTCTTTTGATATCACTGGTTTTCAGCTGGTTTTGATTCACCTTCAGACAGTTCCCTATAGTGATATATTTGTACCAGTTGTGGATTTGTGTCCTTTGACAAAACACTTGTGTCCTCCAGTACTTCTTGCAGGCAAGGTTCAGGCCAAACTCAGGGATTTGCCTTCAGTGTAAGACTTCCACAAAGATTTAGATCCTGCTAGTTAGCAAGAAAAAGTTTTAGAAGTGTTGCTTTATGCCCTGAGATATATTTATRTGTATGAGCATGTGTGTGTCATGTCCCATTGCTTTCAGCAGGATTCTGTGTGACTTCGACAGGGCTGATGCTGCCTCGTTCTGCATGGGCAGTGAAGTTAAAACTGACATTTCAGCTCCCTTATTTTATGCATTGGAAATGTGGGGTATGCCTGAAAGCCCATGGTGTTAATAGGACTTGGACAAAAGCCCCTTGGTCCCTTCCTTCCATTCTAGTCAATCCATCCCTGTTTGTAAGCAACTGTGTGGATCAGATCATGCAAAAGCAGAAAAGCTGAATACTATTAACACTAATAATTTATACAGCTCGCAGCCAATTTATTTAATCACAGAAGATGTAGATCCTGCTGAACAGCTGCAACCTCCATTGAAAGATCCAAGTTGAATCCAGTGGAAATCATTAAGCTGATTTTGCAGCTTCAGTAGAGAGCAGTTACTGGTTTAGCTCAAGAGTCACATTCTGGCCTGCTCTACAGTTACTGTGTTTAGCCAGCTATGCTACTGAGGACACCACACCCATCTTTACAGCTGCTTAAAATGCTTAGGATACCTCTAACATTTTTTTGAAAAGGAAGAAAACCCAAACCAGMAATGTGCTGTAATTACCATCCTCTGTCATCTTCCATTATCCACTACAATCATTAAAAGAAATTGAAAAGGGAGGGAAAAGTGCAGGTCTGTAAATGGCACCTTCACAAAAGGGGCTGCAGCCTAGAGGTGTGAGGGACCCAGTCAGYGGGATGGGGCGAGTCAGCAAGAGGAGGTACTGGTGGCACTTGGCAGCTGTTTTAGATGATGTACCAYGCACCAGTGGAGATGTTGGCACTGTCACAGCCCAGCTTTTCTGGAGAGGTTCCATATTTGGGAATGAAACGGTCTCCTTGCCCTGGTGAAACACTGCTATTGTGAATGCTGCATCTGGTGCGATGTGCTAGCAAGGCACAGCGAGAGACATGCAGGCGGACTGAGCACAACCAGTCTTGGCAACCTGAAGCTGGAATTAAGTTCTTGGCTTCAGTATTTAACAGGGTCCCAGTTAACCCCCAGGCTCTTTGCATGGTCCATGCAGAATGATGGATCCCTGTCTTGGTTTCAAAGATAGGTGTTTGCCAATAAAGGCAGGGACCCCCCTTGGAGTTGTGGATATGACCCCCCTTCCCCCCCAATTATTATAGCTTTGAAAATCATGGGCTTTCAGGGAAGAATATGGGTAAAAGGGAATAACAGTTTTTACTAATATGTACAACAAGGTGAAACAGGTAACAATAACGATA